GTCTAAAAACGGCCCTAAAACTGCGTGTCTTAAGGCCGTAAATTGTTACTTCGAACTGTTTTGAAACCGCCTATTTATAGCCAGTAAACAGGCCGTTTCTAGATCTTTTAAAAATACGCTCAAAAAACAGCCAGTAAACCGTCTTTGAACGGACATGAGTCTCATGAAAATTCGATTCACAACATCACAGTTTATTGACAGTTTTCACGCAGTTGAAAAACCACCTGTTTCAGGTGGTAAAACCATACCATCCAAACCATCATAATACCACCTAAAAACGGTCTGACCGGCCTAAAAACAGGCAGTAAACTGCCCATTAATTGTCAGTTAACTGACAGTTAACTGGCAATTAACTTGGTGGTTTTCAATGTCCTGGGTACTTGACTATGTGATGATCTAAAGATATACAAAAAATGTTTGACCTCCCGTGCAGAAAAAGTATTTCAAAAATAGCCTTAAAATCCAAAACCAATGACTCATCATTGACCACGTGTGACACGTGATGGCACATGTGCCCAGGATTATCGGTATTTTGGGCATCAACTTAAACAATGACGCACACCCGATCTCTCTATCGCTTTACAAAGCTGAGATATTTTAATTTTATAGAAACCAGTGCATCATGCTCAAACCGTTATTTTGCCACGGGACTTTTCAAAACTTGATAGCTGAGTAAGCATACAGTATTTTTTCGATCGCCAAACGTCATGTTACTCAGAATGCTTGCTCTTTCATATGAGATCGAAAAAGTCGAAACGTTTTTCTAGCTTGAACACTTCTCTATGGCAGTAAGTCGCGGCGTACGTGCAATGGATAAATAAAAAACAAAAGATATAATTTAAATTTTTGTACGTTATTTTAACAATCGTTACCAAGTCTTTTTTTCTTCTATCGTTATTTCTATCCACTCGTGTTTGAGAGCCATTAGTGAACTGACGCCGCTGACAAGAGCACATAAAAATAGTTTATTGATGGAAGTTTGAAGAAGATTGGCTCATTGTGAACGAACACGCGATGATTTATCTTTTGTGACATAACCAGACTCGATTTCGTAAACAGCATTAAAATCAATTCAAATAGTCTACTCCGTAGCCGATAAATATATGCAATATTGGACACAACAGATATTTAATATGCAATACGTTAGTGTAATGAAGATTAAAGATGGTCGGAAATATAGACTGGTACGTACCATCATGTCACTGAATTCTTGAGGAGATTCGAGTCAGAAAAAAATTTAGCTCTGGTCACTTTACTCATTTCAGGTTGGGTTTCTTGCGGATTGTCTCTTAAGTTCTGTGACAAAAATTACTTCGACAAATAAATGAAACTGTCCCATGTTTTTGGCTCTCTATTACGAAACCTTGATCTTATTTACATAATACTGAAAGGTCAGCATCAAAGAAAATAATCGTTCGATTGTTATTATTATCTTATTATTTTCTATCAACACCATCTCCTTTTATTTTCTCTTCTTCTCGTTGATGAAGGTCCTTTGATGTTTATGCTTATTCAAAACTATTTCTCATTACAGCAAACATCTGCGAGAAAAACAAAAAAGAGTTGCGTTTTACTACATGTGTATACACTAAAAACAGATATCACTGCCGTCAGTGAACTAGTCAGAACCGTTTGCATCAGAGAGTATACTCAAAGCCAGGAAATGACAGGGCTCCTTTAGGCTCTTTAATTCAACATTTCAACAGATTGGACATGAGAACTGGAAGAATGATTCATGTTCAAATTATCATTTTCGACTGAAGTTTAATTTTTTTGATATTTCCATTTAGCTCTTACCTATAGCATCAGGATCAGTACACAATCGAGCGTGCAGGCTATAAATACGCGGTTCAATATCCACACACGTCGTTAGGGCATTTTAAAAAATGATACAAGGTCGATTTTTGAAAAGCGCCGTTTTAGCTTCCGTCAGCCAAAAAGATACCAAGCTGGAAACATTATGCAGCTGTTAAAGATACAATCAAAACTTGCCATGAATATATGGCTTATGGATTTTAGGTCAAATAAGATTGCAGTAAATCTCATTAGGCAGTAACCTGCTGGTTCTGCCTTTTTTTTTTATCGATCTGAGTTTAATAATGCATATAACTGCGCGGTTCTAATTCAAAATCAAAAAAATAAATCTAATTTTTGCATCAGCTGCATACCCAAAAACGCGTGTAAATGCATAAAAAAAGTGGGCGTTTTTTTCATACTCGAGAATCCTAATTATGATCCCGTCACTAGTAACGACTATGAGAAAAACGACCACTTTTTCTCTTTTTTTATGCATTTACACGCGTTTTAAACTCACCAGAAGGGCGTTTTTCGCTCACAGTCGGGAACCCCGATTGTCATCCAAACACGCCCACTTTTTCTAGATTTTTCGTCTTTTTTTGTGCGCTTAAACGCGTTTTCGGAAAAGTTTGTCTGCTAAGGTAGTGAACGTTTCTTCACATTCTGAACTTTTTTTTTCAAACACTTAAAACGCTTTATTATATCGATGACAGTGTGTTCACTCACTTCCAGCTTGTTGCCTTTGATAGTAAAGTTTGGCTCTCTCTATCTAAACAACGTTGTTTTCAACTTCAAAGGTGATATTTGTGATAAGCATAAAAAACTATATCTACATCTAGTACATGAGATTTTATCAAGCTAGAGAAAAGACGTTTTCCAAAGCATCATGAGAGGTATAATCATCAAAGATTTGATAGCAAAATTCGGAAAAAGTAAGTAATAGGTATTGATCTGGTGACCCCTGACACGTTTCCGATCGAAAAAAAAACAAAATTAGAATGACCCAGGAATAGTCTTATCAATAAGTTACTTCTTTGTCATTTTACTCAAAAGTTTTCGAAAGTTTGAAAACCCTAAGTGTATTTTCAGACCGGAAAAAGATTCTTGAAGTTAGCTGAAATATGGCAAAGTGTTTTCGAAACATTTAGGGTTTCTAGAATAGTGCTGTTTTTAGAGAGTAGAAAAAATCACGTCCTTACAGTGGACAAAAAAGTCCATAGTAGTACAAACCTGAAATACTTTCTTCGAAAAAGGCAATGACTCTTCACTCCGTCTCGAAAACGTTTACACAAAAGAAGATCAATGAGTATGCAACTGCTGTGTATTCGAAACTTCGCTAATCCTCACGAATTCACTGCAAACACACGTGTTCTGAAAAAAATATGCTTTATCCCATGTAAAATAGTTGTACGTATTTTAGATTTCGATATGTGGACCAGAAAGCAGAGATCGATTTTATGTCTGTTCAATGCAATTTTCTCCGCGTTAGAAAGCTATATAAAATACCTTATCTTTTTAAGCAAAGCAAATACTTGGAGGATTAATACTTAAAACTTTTCTCACCTTCCGATTACTTACTTTCGAATTAAATTGAAGCATAAAAAGATGCAGTATTTTATATAGTTTTGTAGCGCGGAGAAAAATATATCGAACAGACATAAAATTGGTCTCTGCTTTCTGTTCCACATGTCAAAAAATCTAAAATACTGAATTACTCGCTCACCTCTGGTGCAACTAGGTCTTCACTATCGACTATTGAAACTGCAGCTCTCGATCTCTTAAGATAGTATAACATCTCCAACGCAAGCTGCCTGTGTCAAATGCTTCGGAAAACAGTTTGTTCATACAAGTAATTGAAACCTTTTCTGTAATGGTATTATTTCTTCAAAACTTTATGCTGATTTTCTTCTATTGTCCAGTATTCTGTAAAAATTTCTTGTTCAATTTTAAGTCACCCGATAATTGCCTTATATAATTGTGTTTATTAAATTAATATTTATCAAAACTACAGAATTTCCTTACTTTTACAAGTTTTAGAAAATCATTAAAATCCGACTTTTTCTCACGCCTCCCACAATGTCAGATCCTGTGGGTGATCAGATCTGATTCAAAAAACGGTTAGAAAGCTCAAAACTCATATCGTTTTCAGTATTAAAAGCTACAAATAGTGAACACTCTCTTTTGACCAGAATTCGTCTAGCATGCGTTGAAAATCAATTTGTTTTAAACCTCTATCTATAGGTCAAGGAATAGTATTACAAGATGATTGTGTGCAAAATGAATGAACTTGAATGATAATTAAAGCGAAACAAATACAAAAGCAGGTTCAAACAGGATTATACATACAGAGAAAAATTTATTATTATAGTACGAATGCGCGTAATCGAGAGGTGAACGAGTTAATAAATACTACGTGAAAAGTTTTAATCGGTAACTTCAACTTTATATTTGTAATGTTTTTCCTCATTTGGTTGCAATGTAAATTTTCCATGAATTTCCGTTCCTTCTTGTGTAAATGGACCTTTTTCCTGTATGACAAATTGTTTTAATGCATGAAAATATTCAGTATATTCAACTTTAATTTGTCGTTTTTTAAAATTTTTTAATATTAAATTAATTTCATAAGATGATTGTGTAACAGTTGAACCAGGATAATATTGTTTACCCGATAGACGTCTAGCTGCCGTTTCATCCAATAGTTTAGATGAAAGTAGAGTAACATTTTCTTTATAAGTAACATCAGGATCTTGGCCAATTGAAAAATCATAGTCATCATTCGCAGCAATATCGGGCCAAGAAGTTTCACCAACTAGACGCTCAAATTCCCGAATAATTGCATTTCCTTTTGGCAAAAATTGATCACTACGTAAACGATATGAGCGTTGAGCTTTACCACGATTATTGGCAGCGTGAAACGATTTTTTGATTGAACTATATCTGTCAACTTTAACTGTTGGTTTCAACATAGGTAAAACATAATTTGTCTTTGAATCAACTGTAAATGGGTTATCAATATTGTATACATATAAACCTGCTAACTCCTCCGGACGGCTAATAGTTGGTGGCGATGAGCCTATCCCTGGTGCACCTGCCATTTGTACATCCATTTGTGGAGATCTAGCGTATGACCATTGTTCATATCTCGAAGGGCTTATTTGAACATTAATATCACCACCAAACAGTTCAGCTGATTCAATCGTCAAAGGTTTATCACCATCATTTCTAATATCCGCTAACGAAATTAACTGAGGTTTTTGTTCATCATACTGTAGCAGAAGATTATATCTCGTCTTCCAGTTGAGATTTGATTTTAAATATGTTACATACCATTGTTGATCAGTTATTTGTGGTTTTACATCATACGTAAATGACACGATATATTTATTGGCAGGTGGTGTTGAAAGATATTCAATTTGATCAGTTCCAACGGTAAAATATCGTTTTTTTGATGTATCTTGAACAAGATTTTTCTTTTCATCAATCATTATAGCTTCCACAGTTTCTATTTTATCACCATGTGAACGGCGAACATAAAGTTTTTCACCATTCAATGATTTCTTCTTTTCACTTGTAGTTTGGGAAGTAACGTCGATTGATGGACCATACAGTACAATTGTATCAGCACGGACTTCGTTCCATTCATCTTCCGAAAATTCTATGGGTAGGTCAGCCACACTTATTTTGCGAGTAATTTCAGCAAAATTTGAAAATATTTTAACAGAAGTTGTTGAATCAGGAGTAGTAACATTCTGTTTTTTATCCTTACCGAAGACCTTTTTAAACAGACTTTCAGCCTGAATACTTATAATTAAAGATATGCATAAGACAAAGAGAAGATGCATTTTTGTACGTTCTATATAGTAATACTGATGAAATGCTACTGTATATCTGTTTCTTCTTTTATATATACTTTTGTTGAAAGTGAAGAACAACTGTTAGTAACCTCAGTATAGAAAAATCAGAGAAAGGGAAAAGGTCAAGCATTGATTAATATAATATGATACCAGCTGCACAAGATATGTCAGTGATATATTACAAAGCATTTTCTCTCCTCTCGATTTGTCATGCCAATATGTAGAGTAAATTATAAATATTTTTCCTAGATTTTTTCTTTCTTCAACATTTGATAGTCAAAGTTGTGATGTATGTAACTACTACTAGGTACACATCAGTATCAGCATACTGAATACTGATAATACTGATACTGATCAATGTTGAATACTGATGAACACTGACTGTTGATACTGGTCGGAGGCGAGCAATGCACTATCGTTAGCGTTCTAGCGGGGATCGCCTCGCATACTTCCTATCTCGTCATCGCTCCGTATCTCGCCATGTTTCTAGAAATCTACTTCACCCGATCATCCCGTAAGCTTTCTGCTCCGTCAACTCTTGATAAAATTTTCCACTGATACTTCCTCACGATCTTCCTGAGTCTGGATCTCTGCTAAAATAAGCTATTCATTGTTTCATCTTGGTTCGCAAGAAGAATCATCACCTTTATCATAAAAATAGATAAAACAATAAGCTCTTCAGTTTACCTTCACTTCAGGAAACTACTGTGTGTCCAGTAACCTCTCACCCCGCTCCTCCATATTAGAAGGCCAGTCTGAAGAAATTTTTGAAGTCAAAATCTTTTTTTCTGACTCAAAAGCATACCATGACAGACCTTTCGCGAGAACTTTATTTTAGTGCGACCTCCCCCGGTGTCCTCTTTCAGAAACTGAAAATCACTGGTCTCTACGACTTTTCATGCAAAAGCTAGCTAATTATAAAATATCGGGATCCATTATATTTTGGATTCGATAGAACTGTAGTTTATGCGTTCTTTTGCGATGAATGATGCTGTTTGTATCTTTTAAATTATTTTTATTTTATTCACAAAAACTGAATGAACAGTGGTGCTTAAATATTCTTTTCGATTACATATCTATTCTATCCGTTAAAGTGGAAAATACTGTTGCTTTAAAAGATTTTTGTGATGACTACAGTTTTGAGCTTTACGATATTTTTCATGGTTTTAATTTTACCGTCTTAAACTGACCATATTATTTCAGGATTTTCCTTAGATGGTTCGCAAGTGGACGGTTTTATTTCCCTGGTTTTAACCTTTAACGTTTTAGTTAGAAAATTGAGTTTTGTCTCTGAGAAAAATTTTATGTAAAAATTAGCGGAAACTTTCTCTCATTATTGGGGATCTTTTACTATTTCTCGAAAACTAAATTTCAAAAACTCACCTCTCAGATCGAGTTTTGGGCGTCTCACTAGTCTAATTTTCAAGAGAATGCTTTTTTATACAAAATGACATCAAATTTAGCTTCGGCAAACTTTAGTGACAGCATTCGGAAGAAACCTGTATCTCCATAACTTTCGCCTTCTAGGGTTCTATTTTCTTGATTTGAAATAAACGCATATACGCATGTTGAGCTTATTAAAATAAATTCTAATATATGATATCGTTTTCGTATGTGAAAGATCAGGTCGCTTGTTCTTTTTGAATTTTTTAGCTATACACTTCTGTTCTACTAACAGCAGAAAAATATTCTGAGTATGGGTGGATTCACACACGTGTATTTGGTAACTACTATGTAGTTACTTTATATACACAAAAATGCACCAAGACCGAAAGTTTCCATAAGAGCATGATGGAGTGCGTGCGCTCAAGCATACATCGTCATTATATATATGCTTGAGTGCATGCACTGCGCTAATAATGCTACAGCTGTAGATAATATGATCTCCCACAAAACGTCAATAGAATTAGAAAACATTCAAACTTTTCTTATTTTTACAAAATACAAGTGGAAGCATAACTGTTTTATTCAGCAAACAACTATTGCTCCCATCAAAATTCCGATGCTATTATCTCCAATTTTAAAATGAAATGTTTTACTCTTGTGTATTGGCAAATCTATGCATTGTAGAGTTTTAGCACTGTTCTGGAAGAACGTTTTGTTGGTAATCACCTTGCACATTTCCTGCTGGATAATAATTGGTGACAACGTATGCTAATCTTCCGTTATTACCATAAGCAACACCAACACCAAGGTATATTGAATCCTTCCAAACCACTTGCGTAAAATGACTTGCTCCAGATGAAAATCCAGGTCTATTAAAATTGTAATATTTTATTTCGTCATACCAGTCTGTTGTTGAAGTAGCACCTATAAAACGTTTACATAATACTTACAGCAGTCATGTTTAAATGCACCATTCATGACAGCGAGAGGCAGAATAAAGCGTGAACAATTGAATGGCATTATCAACTCTTGTTTCCTTCATTTTGTTGTAGAATAAACTGTGTGAATGGCCTAGATTGTCCACTCGACACCAGAGATCGTCTGCAGAGTTAATCTAGGTGTATGAAAGTTTCAAATGTGTTGAGAAAAAGCTTTATGATTGACTTTACAACAATTGATAAGAAACTAATCTGAGGGATCATGAACGTTACTTTTCGAGTGTTTCTCCCTCATTCAGAAAATTGAAGAGTGTACACGCTCGCTTCTCCAATGCGTTTGCCGTGTTTATTTTGATCACTGATCATATAACAAAGGTCCATTAAAATTTAGATTAGTAGAAAGTTTTTCAGAAATATGTTTTTTAATTGTGTTTTATCGAAGAGTTTTTGTATTAATAAATCAGCAGAAAGGTAGAACTTCTGAGCTTTCTTTGATCTCACACGCGTTGCTATCTATTTCTAGCAGAAAAACAATGGAGGAAAATTTGGAAGACTTACAAAGAGAGAATAACGACAACTTCGATAAAACCCTTTGCTGAATTTTCGGCTTTAACGATTGTTTTGAGCGTTTAAGGGTTCTTTCTCCGCTTTAGAAAACTATGTGCTTTGCCAGTGTGTATGTAGTGCTCACATAGAGTAGAATATGAAATAAGTAGACTGTGAAACTATCAAGAGTAGACCGCTGAGATCCATGAGCGATCCGAAGACGCAAAGAGACGCTTCAGTTACTATAATGGTAGTAGATTCATCTGGTGTTCGCTCTGCTGTCATTGCATACTACTGGTAAAGCGCAGAGCGAGCAATGTCCTTCACATGATCATTTTGTATTAAAAATAAAAGTAGAAAAAATCTATCGACTTTTACCGTTAACATTGAGAGTTTCGGATCCACTCATCATATATAAATTTTCTCCTAAACTTTTGCCGCCATTCACCGTATTACTGCTATGCTGAAATTGATTTTGTATAGCCAATTCCTCAGCATACTCTTGAGCAATTTCAGTTAATACATCATTGAGTATCAATGCTAAAGCACAATGTCTTGCTCGATACAAGTTATGTTGTTGTAATACCTCTTGTTGCACTTTGAGTTGATGTGCATCATATGTGCTTTCTACAACAGCAAAACGAGAAAACGGTTATGAATGTTATACTTGCAGTTATGTTCAAGTATTTCACTCAAATCTTCTTACCGTTTAAAGAATAAAGAGCAAATATTATTACTAAAGTAAAATAAAAATAAACCATTTTGTAACCTATAAGAGAAGAACAAGGAACATAGTTAAAGATTAAACAGAATAAAACATTTACTATTTATCGTTCCTTCACTATAAAAACGTTAAAGAAGTGATCATCATCGAATACTGATCAAGAGTACCGCAGTTTGATACTCAAAAGAACACTCAATGAGAATTGCTAATGGGTTCAACAGCCATTCCGAAAATTTATATGAGAGAAGAGAAAACAAATGTACCACGCTGAAACAACGTTAATCGTAATGGCATGGAAAAGTCTGTTTGTTTCAAAATGATCATCATTGTTTTAACGTGGCGCATTTCGTTTTTCTTCTCTCATATAAATTTTTTCGTTCTCTTTCTGTTTTCTCTACGTCTAGCGATATATGCGACATATTTGAATAATCGGAAAGAAATGAAAGTACTATTTCAATCTGCTCTAATGAATTCATCAATCAAATATAACTTTTAAATAATGACCTGTGATGGCACCCCTAGAGAACCTACTCGATGCAAGTGCTTAATTACTTGCTAAGCACTGTCAATGGCCGAAATACCTGCCTTATTGCTAAGAAGTACTTGGAAAATAAGAAGAAGTCCTCACAAGTAAATTTAGTTCTTGAAAAAGGACAAGTACCGGTTTTACTACGCAATTGGAGCACTTGGCCCCAAGTACATTCTCTAGGAGCCATTGCATGAGAGAAACAACTAGTCATGCTCAATCAATGTCTCAGATTTGCTTCTAAATAGTCATATCTTGTTCAGCATGTATAAAAACATACAAATCCAAATTTTGACCCTTCTAGGATTTTTACTTTCTGAGTTCTGGACGGTTTTCTAGAATCCGCCCGATGGAAAATTCAGCGTCTAAAAAATCAGAGCAAAAATCAAGATTCTGTTTCTCTGCCAATACAAGTGATGGAAGAGGGATTTTTACATCCTAAGTAGTCCATTGCACGGTCTATCCGATAATGTGATCAGCTTGTTTTTACCCCAGATCTTCAGCTCGACACCGAAGGTCTTCTGAGGATCTTAGAGATTTATATTGTTTGACGCCGTTCTCGAGCGTATGGCTTAAGTATAAAATGAGTCGCACTTTTTCATAGACATTCAAGTGTGGACTATCCGAATCTGGTCTCAAAAGTTTGTCGTCTTGTAAGGATCTCTGGAAAACCTTCGGGGTTTCCTAGAAACCCCTTAAATTTACCAAAGAAGGTTTTAAATTAAATAATTCAAAAGAGCATAAATTTCTGAACACAATCAGGTATTACACATTATTTTAGCAATTACTTTAAAAACGCGAGAATATAACACAGTTATGACAGTTACAGTTTTACAGTTAACTGTAACTGGTGCATGCCTATCTACAATATCAGGATCTAATGATTGTCTTCTTTTTTCTAAAATTCGACCTGATGCACTAAAAACACGTTCAGATGTAGCAGAACTTCCCAAACCTATATTGACGGCGCGTCAAACCGCAGTAAACCCATAATTAGTCATGTACCAAACTCAAACTCGAGTTATGATACCGGATTTCAGTCTATCGAGCTCAGTTTGAAATTGATACTCAAAGCTCGAATTGAGTTTGAACTCGAACTTGAAAACTCGAACTCGAACTCTAGTATTCGACATCGAGCTCAATCGAGTATCAAACCCGAACCTCGAGTGGAATTCGAGCTCAATCCTATCGAGTTCGAACAGTTTGGGTTTGGTGCATGTCTAAATAATAGAAGTGAAGAGATAGATGAAGGCAAACTCCGTCACAAAAGAGAGTGCGTTTCCGTAGAAATAGATGTGAATATTCAGTCAGAAAAGAATACAGTACACCGTTCGTCTCGCGACACATACTGAACCGAAAATCGTTCCATAATTTCCAGATATGACATCGAGAGAGAAATAGTTTTTACTGGTAGGCATATTAAATTTTCTTTCAGAAACAGGTGAGCGAATCCATAGGATGAGCGCTATCTTGTTCTTCATTCCCAAAATCGATCAATATTCTTGTTCTTGAAATGTATTTCATCGATCTCTTTTTGTCAGTCATTTTTCTGTCTCTTTATCGTTCATAGAGATGATCAGGTTTTCACAAATGATATTTGTGATGAGAAGAAAAAGATCTTTTTGTCTGAACGATTCAAATCAGTCGAATTTCAAAGAGGAGTTAGAAGGGGGTGGGTGTGGGTGTGAGTTCCCTATTCATTCATATCCTCACCTCACCCACACCCTCGCGAAGGAGAGGGTGACGCACACACACGCGCGCAAACAGATCGAGTTCAGACATTTTCTCAACAACCGGGCATTTGGTTGCTTCTCCGATATTCATGTGCCGTTTTGATGTAAGCAACATTCTCTTTATATTGATTTTCCCATTGACTTTTTTAAGCCCTCTGCACCATCCGAACATCACACGTAAGTGAAGTTATCCCCAGATTCGAGTTTTTCGCGCCCCGATTCGCCGAGGAACCTGTTCCGAGTGATCCAAACTGTGTTCCAATAGAACTCGACGAGCTCTATCCAGTGGTACCAAGCAAGGCCTGGTTACTTGCATCATAGAGCCTGCAATCCTGGAAAACCCCCGAACCCTTTGCCAGACCCTTGCCAACACAAATGGGCGGCGTGCCAATTTGCTTGGGAATCTGTTCCAAGTGATCTGAACAGTGTTCCAAGTAGAACTCGACGAGCTCTATCTACTGGTGCCAAACAAGCCTTAGTTACTCGCACCATAGTGACCAGGGTCCTCGGAAACCCCTAATTTGCCGTGCTAGACTCATGCCATGAGGGGTAAATGGCGCCCCGATTCGCTTAGGAACCTGTTCCAAGTGATCTGAACAGTGTTCCAAGTAGAACTCGACGAACTCTTCCTTCAAGCGGAATGAAATTTCGATCACTATGTGCTTGATTTACGCTCACTCTCAACCTTTTGTATATAATCTCAAAATTGACCCTTATTTATGTTCCTTATTCTCAACATTTATAAAACAATAGTTGGAAGTTATTACAACTTTCAAAAACTTTTCCATTTGCTTTGAGACAGCATTCAAATGAGTAGTATAATAGAATTCGAAATTTCCCTGATGATGAATGAATTAAGCTCCATCCGAACGGTTGTTACCAGTAGCTTCGAAGTATATTATCTTAAGATACTTGATGATTGACAGCCTAAGCAACTGTCGAAACCGGTCGTGTGATGTTTTGGATCTATTCACACAAAATTCTTATATGGTAGCTCTACTCACCATTGAAATTCCGTGCATATATTAATCATTATAAATTTAGAAAAAACGTGAAACGAGCACATTGCAAATATCATGCATTATAAATTGCTACGTTAAAGTTTCAGATTATGAAATGGCCTTCGAAAGATCCCTTAGAAAATTGGTTTTTTAACTTCTGTTTTTCAAAACGTTTCTGGTTATGGAAAGATGTGTTCAGACCTTGATTATCGAATGGTAAAAACCGCAGTTAGCTATCTCTTTTTGTTCTCTAGTTATTCAAAAGATATACAAACGCACAAACCTTTTGGACGAATAGTACATTATAGTTAAATTGTTTTATGTGTAGGTACTATTACAAAACATAATAAACTAGTATTTGCTTTTAATCCGTGTGCATACCTGTCATATTCGTGAGAAAAACGCATTATTATTTTCTTATATCTGGTTACAGAACAATTAGTACATTAAGGACAAAAATAACGGAACATTTAAATTTTTTATTTTCTCCATTTAGATAGTAAAGAATTACTGTCTAACTAGCATAATGCGCTACCAAAATAAAATGAAGAAAACTCAGAACAACGAACCACGAAGTGCACAAGCGTTTTAAAATCAGAAATACTGAATTTCGTTTTTAGCGAACATATAAAACGAAAAGTCAACAAGTATGAGTCATACATAACATATGAAAAGTCTGACGTAATCAACCTAAATATTAACCTAAAGCTTTTCAGCTTGCTGCTGCGATTACCAAACAGAAAATAGTATGTACCATACTCAATGCGAAATAATTCAATAAATGATTGATTAGAATCGCTAGCCTTTCTCCAATTGTGACGTGAAGGTGAGGAGAAAATAAAAGAAATTAATACCTCCCACGTGTAATCGATATTGAAGAAAAAACTACAAGTAAACTGTATTAATAAACAACCAATTTGTACAACGAACAGTCCATTAATGTTTTCATCAAAGACAGAGATGACAGGAGAACCGTTTTGGAGCAAACGGTAAGTGCTCTTGGTCCCGTGAAGACCGCATCTACCAAACTCTGTGTGTTTTAGTTTTCCAACGTTAACTTATTTAATATTGATAACTGCTGTATTGTTTTTATTATGTTTCGTATGCGTTCTGGTACTTTCCTTAATTCCATTGTACATTAGAGCAAAGTCGCTGTTTAATTATCACCGTTCTGGTGAAGAGAAAGTAGTTCGAGGTAAGCAAACAACTAAAATACATTTACAGCTAATCTATGATACGCGAAAAGAAAGGCCACACTTCGGAGCACAAGAGAATATCCTTCGATTCCACTCCGATGTATAGTATCGTGCACAAAATAAATTCATTTTACATTGTTTTATTAGTTGGAAAGTAACAGATATTGAAGCTTCACAGTATTCTTTCATATCTTTTTATTTTTAAAGTATATAAAGAATATTCAATATGTGTTTTCCAGAGGATCAAATAGTGCAACTTTTGAAAAGAAAAATAATTTCTAAAATAAAAGGCGAAAACGTCACAGACAAAATACTGAGAGACGCATTATTTCTGCACCTTAGTGTTGTTTATCAGATCGAAACTGAGATAAAAAATCTGACTAGACCACTTTGTAGCCCTAACGTTTCTCAACAAAATAACAGGAACCCGTGATTTCTGACGTTTAAACTAACAGAGCAAATCAACTTACAGTGCGACAAACTCGGGAAATACTTAAGCTTTCACGCTGATATTTTTACCGCGAACTATGTGTGGCAAGACCAACCTTTGTTAAAAATTTTGTCAAGATCGGACGTTGCGTTCTAGGAAAATGAAAAAAGAAAAAGCACAGACTCGTATCACTGAGAGGGGAAACGCTTGAAAAAAAGCAGTTTCCCTGCTATCATCCATCTAAAGTGTTGGGAAAACATCATCATTATTATCAGCTTTTCTTCCACTATCAACTATGATACTTCTTTTACCCGTTTAAAAAAGTTTCAATCGATTTTTTTTTCGAAACGGTACAATGATTTTGCAGGTCACTCATATATTGCATGGGACAGAAAAAGAGAAAAACATACAATAGAAAATGAATTAGACTGCATAAAAAATAAGAGAGTGAGAGAGAAATCTGAATGAGGAGAGTGATTAAAATTAAGTGAAAAACTAGTAAACCCAAATGAATATCATATTCGAAGTGAGCATGGTCGATTATGTTAAAAAAAAGAAAGTATATTTGGGGAGATTCCCTTGTAAGTCTTATAATATGCTACCATTCGCAATTGTGCTAATACTTTTTTACTATGCTAAATAAAAAATGATAGTAAATTATCAAACTGGAAACCACAAATTTACTACTACTACCATTAATGGGAAATGATACATTAGGAAGTGTTGATATAATTCTAATAGTATTTAAATAATCACCTATTGATGGTTGTTTTAATAATTGTAAAAACGTTGTTGCATTTTTATCGTTTCTTTCTAAACTATTTAAATTCCAATTATCTTGAATAGTTTTTAGTATAGAATAATGCGATAAGCGTAAATTACATGATGTATTTGGTGTAATATATGGTCCGAGAAGAAAATTTGCTATTCTGTTTTGTTCTGTATTATCATCTTCATCCCATGCAATTAATATTGATGTCTTTTGTGGTAATAGTAACCAATATTTTTTTAACCATGCTGTCAGAAATTGTCCGCTAAAATTTATTCCAGTGTCATGCCCATTATTTTTTGATTTGGTGTATAATAATTAAATTGTGATATTCTGTTACATTTTAAATCATCATCTAATTCATTACTATTGACTATGTGTTGTTGACATCGTGTCATATTCGATTGTATATTTAAAAAACTTATGAATGGATTATGTTTACGATAGTATAATGATGACAGACTAGAAACAGGGTTACATTTACCATTTTCTAATGATGTATAATTTTCTTGATATACTTTCCACGATATACTTTGATTTTCAAGTAAATCAATTAAATTTGTTGTATTATATATAATATAAAAACATAGAAATAAAGATATTTTATTGTATTGTGCAACACACAGTGAAGGAAAGCTTACAAAGGTACGTCTTGTATACGGTAGCTGCTAAAAGTATAAAACCTACTCTAACTCACGTTCCCATGAAGGTCGTTTAACTTGAAACTTTCAAGGGTCTTTTTTTTCAAGGATCGATTATGTCTTTTTTTCTTATGTAGACCTCTAAAGTTTGCACTTTCTTAGTCATTGAGCTGCAGAACGAAGACGTGCCCGAAGCTCGTTTGAATACTAGCAGAAACTACCCGACAACGAAATCCTAATGCTCCTTGATTCTGGACAAGGACTTCACGTAGCCTCTTATCAACGTGGGGAAAAGATAAATTATCTTTGACTTAATCCTTTCCGATAGTGTAAACTAACGACAGACGCCTGTTTCTTGCAGCAGCTGATACAAGAAAGAGCGAATGTCCTCATCAGATATTTCGGGTAGAAAAGGCAAATAAAACTGAAGAGATTAAGTTATGTGAATTTTGTTTGACAGTACCTCGTAGCGAAATGAGCTGCGATCAAAACCGTAAGAAATACAATGCATCTCGTAGTCTTTGAAAAGCTCTACACAACTACATATCTAATCATTTAAAATCACAGCTGAATAGAGCGCTTTAACTTTATTTGCACAATCATTAGATCTGCCCAGTGTGTAAGTCTTTCCTTCTCTGTTTAGTCTTTTTCCGCTTTTATTTCTCCCTCTTCGATTTATTGTTGATTGTCAAACACCCTTACCCTTAACCATGAGTATAACCTCTCTTGAACGACCTGTAGATAAGAATTCATTTGTTGATATTAGGTCATCTACACTCTGTCTTAATTCTTCAATTTCTTTATTTGACACTCTTGTGCCACGATAAAGTATTATACGGTTAATCAATTTCTTTGAAGCCCCCAGCGGTTATTCGTACGCGAAGAGACCCACACTTAAAGTGGTTATTTTCTAACTTGGGACGAAACGATACGGGACAAAAAGGTTCGTCCCGTTCGGAGCTCTGTACTACTAACCAGTGTTTGATAAACAATCAATTTTACTAAGTGAGCATTTTTAATTTATCTCCTTTTCACTGCTTAAAGAAAAAATATTGTCCCACAAAAGATAGCGCCCCTTGCCAATATTTGAGTACAGTCTAATGTAATCAAAAACTGAAAAGAACATATCGTCACTGACAAATAATTGAATAATTTTACTTAAAGAAATACTTTCATAATACGTTTTTTTTTCTTTCTATATTTTTTTGTGTTTGGAACGGGAAGACGAAAGAACTAATCGTTTTTTGTTTTTCTTTTTAAAGGTGTTTGCTGTAGAGGGAAAGTATTATCCTTCTGTTTGCTCATATTTAAGACTACCACGCTCATCATTCATCTGTTTTGAGAAGATCTTCGGCTCATGGCGAACAGTAACAAGCAAAAATAGTCTTTTTATATGTTTCTTACCAGAGGTAGGTAGCGGGACGAGGCCTTAATGTTTAATAACGAGATCAAAATTGAGTTACAAAATTTTTTTCTCACGGATTTTATCGAGAAATGATGCCAAAAATACTGCAAAAGCAGTGCTTGGCCACAAAAAATGTGCACAATGGCCGATAGCGGCAGTAATGTTGTCTGATTTTCAAAATTTTCTTCCATATCTTCTAAATTAAAACTCAAAAAAATTTAAATTTTATTTTTTTCAAAATTTTTCCATTAACTCTGAAAGACAGACAACGTTACTCGTGCAATCGACCATTGCGCACAATTTTTGTACCAAGACTTTTGCTCGAGCACGCTTTGTTATTGCAGGATCTTTCGCAAGACTTACACACAGCAAATGGGTGGATCCTCACACTTTATCAAACAATGTCAGTTTGAAACGAACAATTGGATTTGAATTTGCGGATTACAACATGGTGGCTAGATAGGCCAAAGTGTTCTCTACAATTCTGCGCAAGACCCACCTCTGTATATGGTGTGGTTCTCGAATGGCAAGCATTTTACCTGACTAAACGGTAACGAATTTTGGGTGACTCAGGAAAATGCCTGCCATTCGAGAACCACAACAGTTAAAAAGGTCGGCTTTGCGCAGAATTGTAGAAACCAGTTTGGGCTATCTAGTCACCACGTTGGAATTAAAAATTCACCATAGATTCAGAATCTGGCCACCCTATCGCTTTTTATCCTCCAGGTACACCGCCTGAAAAACCAAGATGTTTATTCACTCTAACCTAGGTCGTACATTCCGGCGTCAGGTTCCTGCCGGATCCAACATCGGCACATGCCGAAAGTTGTCGGAATTCGGTAAAATCGGGCAGCAACGATACCGGATTATGCTGGAAATCCGTTGCTCGGAATCCGTGCCGGAAGATATCGGAAAAGATCCGATATCTTACGACATATTCCAGGACCTTTCGGCCGATGAATCGGATTTCGCTGGATTTGACAGAATGTGACCGATTTTGACGTTAAAACTAGTCTTAAATTTTTTCTTTCATTTTCTAGTGGTTCTTCTCTGGAGAGGCCCACTAGCTAGGACGTGTACAACACGTCCGTTGAACACGGTGAGCGATGACTCACACTGTTAAGAATTTGAGAAGAACAACATCTCATTTTTCATTTTCTGTAGTTTCGTATTTGAGGTGTCTTGAAACAAAACGGTGAATATATTATGCGCACAGAAAAGAAAGAAAAAAAATAAAGTGTACATAAAGTGCATCACAGGATCCGTCGATTTCCGGTCACCGGAAATTAACGGATCCGCCTAGTTTCGGATATCGGATCCGATCTCCTGATCCTCCAGGAAAAAATATCGGAACGCGAAGGGATTGACCAGATTCTGATCTCCGGAAATCACCGGGATTAAAAGGATCCGGCAGGATCTGATTGGGTGAATTCATCCTGGGAACAGCTGAGGAAAGAGACGAACGCAAAGATTAGTGTTAGATTGAACCTCAAAATCAACATATTTTAAGTCAAAAAATCGATAACAGAATGGGGTCTTTTAACGTAGTTTTTGCCTTATGAGTTCAAGAGGGGTCTTCTATCGTAGGGGGGCCTCTGTTGTGTCCATCCCTTTAATTTTATCTCAAGCTTTCGATGAGTAACACTCGATATCATTAGGAGAACGAGTAACAAAGAACACAGAAACTACATGTATATATTTTAACATAAAAAACGAGAAATGGGGAAAAGAACATTTCGTAGAACATTTTTCGGGCCGAAAAAACATGTCCTAAAGGACATATTGAAAAACGTCATCCGAAAACCTTTAATTTATGCTTGACTTCATTGAAAGATTTATGATGGTTCTCATGCGTAGAGAGATCGCATAAACAATCTATTTAGTACAAGAGTACAAAGAAAACATTTGTTTTCGGTTCTTCTTTATCGTTGTTATTTGGTGGTTGTGGGTGTAGTATTTTCTTCGCTAGTACTTCCGCTTCACGGATTCCTCTGCAAATAAGATGACCAGGGTATCCGTTAACTTTTAAGGTATCGCTCATTTGTTTCAATTCTTGGTTCGAATGTTCTGACGTGGGACGTGGAGCAGATAAGTAAGATCCGAATAACTGAAGATTTTATCAGTCTAATCTTATATTTTCTACATTCGTTACTTTCATATAAAAGATACAGACTTGTGTTTGTGGGCTTTCGATAAATATGTGTCTTTATTTTGATTGCGTATTACGATAATATCGAGAAACGGCATTTTATTATTCGTTTCTCTCTCTATCGTAAATCTGATGTTTTTGTGCCAGGTATTGATTCTTTTCAAAAAATCGTCCATCTTTTGATCTTTTTTAAAAATACAGAAAACGTCATCGACATAACGAAGCCACAATAGCGGTTTATTCATGGTAAATCTATTGAGTTTTGTTTAAGTTACCAGAATTAGCTTTCCAGACTCAGTTTTTGGTGGAAAATAAGAAAAAAGTGATTTTGAAATTTTGAAACGCTATCAAACATGAAAATTTCACTGTTTTTTCCTGCAGTTCAAAAAGTCAATATTTTTCAATTTTTTCTTGCAAAAATGACGTTGAAAAATCTTAAATTACCACGAGAACGAGTAACACCGAAAATGACGGTATCAGAACTGGCAACAGTTGGAAATATTTCCTGCCCAAACAGGCAACGTTCAGCCCACCTAGGCCCACCGATTCTTTTCGACTCTACGGAACACGGCCCAGCAGTCCAAAAATCCTGGTTACGCCATTGGTGTGTCTGTCTGTCCGCTACTAATTTGTGTGTCTGTCTGTCTGGCTGCGGACATACATAACATTCAGGCATTTTAATTCGATAAAACCCATTCCTTTACAGTCAAAACAATATCATTATCATCTAATCAAACTGAGCTGGAATTTGCGACCAATAGAATCGATTCTGGAGGTCGCTCATAAACATTTTCTGATTGCCCATAGTCGACTTATTCCACAAGATAACGCTCGGTCCATTGACTTTAGGAACTTATATGTACGGAACAACCTTCCATTACTTTGAGTCCAAAAGAAGGTCACACCTCCCTTCGGTCGGTGTTCGCTAGCGGACCATCTAAAATACGTTATGATTTTTCTTTGATTTCAGTTGTAAGCTTCGTACTCTAATCTAAATCTTGTTTTCTCCAGACTCTCCAAAGAACCTCAGAGATCCAAAAGTATTTCTGAATTCAAGACAATGCTCACGCCTCCCTTCGGTCGGTGTTCGCACCCAGGATAGTTGAGAAATGTTGTAAACTTCTCTCATTCCACGGAAAAAGTGCACAATGTAACATAAAGCTTAAGCATTTTCTGGACACCCTCTGAAAATCCCAAGGGGCTGGAAGCATTCCTGATCGATTCATCATGTTAGACTATCTATAATCTGTAAGTTTTATTATTCGTAGATTACTTTTTGTGTTATCAAAACTGACTGATTTCTGGCGACATCTATCTCCGAATTTCAGAAAAACAAAAAAATATCTGACAGCCATTTTTCTATATTTTGCGCATTGACACACACACAGGCACCCAGACAACCATCTTGTAAGACTCAAGACTAAAGTCAAGGGAATATCATTTTCACCCAATCAAGTTGACGTTTTCGACCAATAGAATCGATCCTAGTGGTCGTACATAGCCATTTTTTGATCCCCCATAGGCGAATACCTACTCCATATCATTTTTATCCAATCAAGTGGAAATGATGTTGTCGACCAACGGGATCCGCCGTAGAGGTCGCTCATACGCATTTTCTGATTCCCCGTAGTCGAATACCTGTTCCACATCGTTTTCATCCAATCAAGTCTCCGCTACTAAAAAATTGTGTGTCGCTAGTATCTAGTCTGCGGACAAACATACATACAGGCATTTTAACTCGATAAGACCCTTTCCTTTACAGTCAAGGGAATAGGTACTATTATTTTCTATTCTTACTGGCGAAAGTAGCTAGTTTACTACAATACAAAACCAAGTAAATCTATTTACATCTTTAATGTGAAAAATTTCAGTTCAGTAATTTTTATTTGGCACACAGGACATTGTATCAGTTGACAAATCGAGCAAAAATATCTTTCTAATAAACATTTTTGATGAAATATATGGCCACAGCTTAAATAACAACATTGATCACCAAATTCAAACAAACAATTTTCATTTCTACATCCGACTGATTGCCTTTCATCATTTAAATCATCATCTTCGTCTTGTTGTAGCCAACGTTCGTTAAAAGCATCATCAAATACAGGCAACTGTTCGTGTTGTTGTTGTTGATTTGATGTAAACCACGACGTTAATTGAGTAATTCTGTCCATTTGTTGTGCAATTATCTCCAGAGTCAAAAAAAAAGAGTAGCGAAATTCATTTATATATGGGCGAAAAGTTGTGGTGAAATTTCAAATCTGATTGGCTGTGATATAACCGAATCAAAGAAGAGAAAAAAATTGAAAAGTATCAGTACAAATTGAAGGAGAGGTACAAATTCGGTCGATAAAAGACATAAAGTGTCGTTTACGAAAGGAAAATATCACAATCCTGGATATCGAAATATCTCTTAGTTTGCTCTACTGTGCTTGCATAGATATTTGCTTCCTTCTTCCTTGCCTTCCCGCTTTATTCGGTTGAGTCATATTCTTTTCTGTGTCTTTGGTTCTATGAATTATGAATAATTGATATCAATGCCGTAACTGATTTTAGCAGTGATGTGATCATGATTAGTATTTAGTTTGTAGTGCAATTAATAAAAGTTCAGACTATGCAACTGATAATCAACGAAAAAATGAGTATGATCGTTAGAAACAAGATCGAAGAATATAATTTCTAACACACTTAGCTTAGTTTTGAAGAAATTATACACACTGCGGTGAAGTATATAGCGAGAAAGTTGGGCCCATTCCAGTTCCTTCGAGATTTTTCGAGACGCGTGAACACCCTTCGAAAAGGCTTCTTCATGACGCACATGACCATGTGTGAGAGTGGAGAAAATACTCTTTCTCTGAGAAGTCAGAAAAACGATACTTTAACTGGGACTCACAACATATATGTTAGCGTTCCGTCAGCTAAGGAAGAATACGACAACACTAGGAAGAGTACGATTAGATATCTTACACTACCACCAGCTGAGGCAGACGAGTTAGCATAAGCTAACGTCGAGTAACAAAACCTAGAAAAGAGCACGTGATATCCGATCAGTTAAAATGTACTAAGGTAAAACTAGGCCGCCTGTAAAAATTCTCCAATACGATTGTATTACTTTTTTTCATGGACTAATAGCCCGGGATGTTCTCTTCAAAATGGTTTTTCAACCATTTCAAACGGGTTTTTCAAAAAAAAAAATTCTGTAGGAGATACAGCCGCTACAACATGAACATGCCAAAATCCTTCAAATGATTTTTGTCGAGTTAACTCACTTTTCGCATTTTTTACAGAATACCTACAGAATAGGTTATATTTGATGCTGAATTCAATGAAAGTGGTCTCAGGATACCGTGTGGATGTCCAAAGGATATCCACATAGCCTACCACTTTTAGAAGCGTGGAACTCAGCGGACACTTGAAGGAGTTCGCGAACTAGGCTGATACAATGCGGTACCTGTCGGAAAAATGTGATTGGGCAGCGGAAGAGTTTCCTGTGCTTTCTATATCAGTTTTCAAAGAGCAGTAGTCTTTTTAGATGTATTTTTGCTGCTTAAATATTTCTTTTACCAAATTCAAAGAATAGAACAGTTTGACAACAGAAAGAAAATCGAAAAATGTTGAAATGAAAAGTCTAGAACAAGGCATTTTCGAGATATCTTGCTGACGACCACGAAATACTAAGAGACCACTCTTATTGAATTCAGCATCAAATATAACCTATTCTAGCATTTTTTTTTGATTTGAGCGAAAAGTGAATTAACTCGACGAAAATCATTTGAAGGATTTTGGCATGTTCATGTTGTAGCTGCTGTATCTCCTACAGAAATTTTTTTTTGGAAAACCCGAGCCGATTTTTTGTAGCGCGCGATGGTTTGGTTAGATTGTCGGCCGTTCTTTTTTGTAACTGTTTTCCCAGCGAAACAACAATACAATGCATAACTCTTGAATGAAGCACCATGGGCAGAAATTCTTTTAGGGTTTTAAATAGGACGCTTTCCTCTATCAGCTTGCATAAGATTACTGCAAACGGAGTTTGGCACCTGGGAAGGTTTCCTCGTGAGGAAACTGCATCTACCAATCACCGCAAGCCAATTAGTATTATGCAAGTTAAAATGTAAAGACCATGGATGTTTTTTGAATAACGTTTGAAGGAAACCCATTAGGGACCTATGGGCTTCAGGTTATGAAGGAGGATGTCCGGGGGCATTAGTCTATGCTAAAATGAGTCCTTTCCGGCAGCACTGCCATGGTGTACCTTTCAAAACCGTAATTCCGGTAAATTCCGTAATTCCGGTATACCGTAATTCAAATGTTACAGACAATCTCTGAGGACCTGCCTATCGGCTAAATCTTAATCCTGGAAACCTCAAAAATGCGTGGCACATACGTTTTCGGGCGCGCTAAACCTCGTGGCAATGTTTGTTTTGTTGTCCGGATTAAACAAACATCAAAAGAAGAAATTTTCAGAAAATTCAATTTTCCGCTGTGACCGTACTAGAATAAAAAGCTGCTGGTATCTTCGTTTCTCAACAAAATTGCTTCAAATTTTGAAAACTTACGTAGTTTCGCCAGCTATCTAGCTCAAAAACGACAGAATTATTTCTCATTCTGAAATTTTACATGAAGATCTTCAGATATTTTCTGGAAATTATCGAAGGTTCGGTTTGTTTTTTATAGTTCTGGGCGTGAGATCGATAATTCTAACTTTCTTGAGCTGAATAGCAGGCGAAACTGCGTGACTTTTGAAAATTTGAATCAATTTTGCTGAGAAACAAAGACATCAGAAGCACACTTGTTACAGATGGAAGTGGTTTTGTGCGAGTCTTGAGTGAAGCATTTGAAGGAATTTTAGCATTTTAATCAAGCACTGATATATCTCACTCACGAGGGAACTGCCCCAAGTGTCCGCTCGCTTTTTTCTTGAAACCTAGTGGAGAATAGGTTATCGACTATGCTGATTCCGAATATGACAATGGTTTTTGCTGCTAGGCCTTCGGAGACCTGGTTTTC